TTGTTCGAAACCACCCTGATGAATCGCCAAGCTAAAACGGAATAAATAATACATTATTGTCATTGTCAGACATTTTCGAGCGACGGCGAACCCAATAGCTGCTTGAGTGATTAAACGCTCTAAGTGAATTTTGCGGAATAATTGAAGTGATTGCTGATTTCCAGCCTCTCCCCCCTGCGACTCATCCCTCCCAGAGACAGCCAGCGCAATCCATCCTAGCGTCAAGCACATGAGCTTATGAGTGGCATCTACAAATTTCGCCTTACACACCACTTCCCTTTGCTTTCATTCACACTTCTCCACATCACTTAAGCAATCCTGCAGGTGCAGGCAGAAGAACATATGCTCGATGTTAACACTGACAACAAATGAAGCATTTGATCCCGTGTTGAATACATGAGCTTATTTTTTTTTTTGTTCCTTCTCACTAAGACAGATGTTCTGCGCTCATTCAAACCTTTTTCCAAAAATCCGTACCCGCCAAACTTACTCTCTTCTCTCCTCAACTTCCTGAATTTACAGCATTTTCCAATCAGCCCGTGGATATGGGATAAGCGCTGCAGATGAATAACGAGTTGTGCATGGAGCCAAGCAAAAATAAATAGCGACGCGCACTAGGGCAGCCGGTGCGATCATGAGTTTTGTGCAATTCCGAACGATTGCCTGCTAATGATTTTCACTGCTTTGCACTTTGGTCTGTGCAAAAATAGTTGAAATGTTATCTGGTTCTTAAGCTGCGGAACTTCCCACTAAAAATTTCACGCACACGAGGTAATAATTTCTCTATCAAAACTTTCACGAGGCTGTATGTGGTACTCAAGGGTGCGTGAAGGCTGAGTTCAAAGTTGCGAAGTCGTACATTTGTAGAGGAAATCACCCTAAAATTTGAGAATCTCAACTTCCGCGATTGCCGAGATAGTAATTTTCCCCGCCGAAACTTTCACGGGGCCGTAAGCGATGCTCGGGCACGGGAAGCTGAATTTAAAATCGCAGGATTGTATGTAGAAGAAGACATTATCATAAAATTTCAACTTCCTGACTTTTATGGTTCTCGAGGCAATAATTTCTCCGCCAAAATTTTCACGGGGCTGTAAGTGGTGCCCGGGAGCGCAGGATCGCTGAAGTTGAATTTGCGAGGTCGTACGTGAGTAGGGTTCATTACTCCAAAATTTTAAATTTCCGGATCCCATGGTTCCCGAGACAATAATTTATCCGCTAAAAATTTTACGGGGCCGTATGTGTTACCCGCAGACACGGAAAGGTTGAATTTAAATCTTCTAGGTCACGCGTCAGCAAGGAACATACCCATAGAATTTCAGCTTCCTAGCTTCAGTGGTTCCCGAAACAATAATTTATCCGCCAAAACTTTCACAGGATCGTAGGTGATACCCGAGAGCGCGAGAACGTTGAATATGGATAGGCAACGTGGGCAGAGGGTTATTGCTCTAAAACTACAACTTCGTCGATTCCGTGGTTCCCGGGATAATAATTTATCCGCAAAAATTTCCATGTGGCCGTTCGTGTTACCCGTGGGCAGAAGAAAGCTGAATTTGAATGGGCAAGGTCGAGCATGGGCAGGGGGCCATTACCATTAAATTTCAGCTTCGTACATTCAGTGGTTCCCGTGATAATAACTTTACCCGCCGAAACTTTTACGGGGCCATACGTGTTACCCGCGAGTACGGGAGGCTGAATTTAAATTTGCGGGGTCACACGTAAGTGGGGAACGTTCCCCTAAATTTTCAGCTTCCTAGCTTTTGTGGTTCCTGAGTTCAAAGTTACGGACAAGTTGCTGCGGACACACACACACACAC